CTGAATATGTACTCCAAGTTACACCAGCAAGGACTTCACCTCCATGGGATTTTTTTTTCTTTCCTGATCATTGTATTACTCTAGGGGCAGCTACATGCATGACAAGCAGATCTTTGTGTGGTTCAACGCACAAGTGACTGGAAGCTGAGAGTTCACATTTGGCTTGTTCAAGGCCCTTAGTTCTCTGTCCATGCACTTACATCTGTATCCATCTTACATCTATGTATATATATAAGATGTCTGCAGTATGAACTTATATATATGCATGGCAGATCTGGATAAGCCTTTGTGAATCTCTTTTTCCAATGTGTTTAACGCTTGCTTGTTTGCCTCTCTTAGCACTGCCCCCCTTTTCCCCTCCTTTCTGCCTCCCTTCTGCCTTTTATACTCAGATTTCTCTCTCATTTTTATATGTCCTTTCGTGGCATCTGATGAAGTGAGCTTCAGCCCATGAAAGCTTGTGCTAATACATATATATCTACTTTGGTTAGTCTATAAGGTGCAAATGTACCCTGCCTTCTCCTAGACCAGGGGTGTCAAACTTATCCAGCCTAGTGGGTCGAATGAGGAGCATGGGGCCAGTCCAAGGGCCAAATTGCCTCCCCCCTCCCCGCACAAGCATACCTCATTTGGCAGCTGCTGCAGCTGATCTGCGACCTACTCTGTACCAAACACGATCCTGGAGTGCCTGTAACTGTTGCTACATGTAGCAGCTCTGGGACTGTATCTAATACATTGCCCTGCTCCAGCTAATCCAGGATCTAAACTGTACATGACTCTTGTGGGTGAGCAGCTGGAATGGGCACTGCCTGTGGCATAGTCCACCCGGAGCAGCAGCTGCGCAGCACACGGTGGCTGTCCCAGCAGCTCCAGGACTATGCTGCATGCAATGCCAGTTCCAGCCAGTTTGGGATCCACACTGCATGGTTGTGGACTGACTGGAGCAAAGTGCCTTGTGTAGTCACCTTGTGCAGTGTGGCTGCCACTCTGGCCAGACTCTGCCACACGCGGCACCAGTTCACACGTGGCACTCTGTGATCTGCGCTGCATGCAGCATGTGTGCCAGGCTGGCTGCAATGGCCATTGGGTCAGGTATCCTGGGGGAGGAGGAAGCGAAAAGAGAGGGGCAAAGGGAAGGGGAGAGGGTCTGTGGGTTCAGCCTGGCCTGTGGACCAGCCCTGAACAGCAGGCATGCACTGTGCCTTGTATGGGCTGATCAGACCTAGGAGGCAGCACTGGAGGTCGGATGGCAGGGCTCTGCCAACTGGATGCAACCTGTGGGCTGTGTGTGTGACACCCCCGCCCTAGACATTTCAGACAACGGCTTCTAAAGTTAGATAGAAAGACCGTGTTAAGGCTGGCCAGGCTGTGGTGGTTTGGCTGAGCCCTGCAATGCAGGCGGGTGAGCTATGACCATGAATGGTTCATGGATGTTTTTACATCTACGATGTAAATATGGATTGATTCTGCCTTTTCACTGTAGGTTTGGGTGGTAAATTACCCACCAACTTAGAAAGGGTAGCATCCAGCTAATAACATTTATTTAGCAAGAATCTGAAGGCTGATTAACTTCTTGTAGGAATATATCAGTGAGAGACATTAATAGGTCAGCTGCTGGAAGAAAGTTATTGTTGTGTAATTGCAGCAGAGTGAAATCACACTGTAGATGCTAGTATATGAGGAGCAGGATCCTTCCTGACCAAATTTCCTATCTGGGTCCTAAAGACTCATTAAATATGTCAGTTTTAAAGGGAAGGGATGTCTGAAAGGCAAAGGCCAAGTGAGTATTTCTGTCGCAAAAATGTGCTAGATAGGCTGTACCTTATCTACAGTGATCGACCGTGAAATGCTGGTGGTATTCCCGAGTTCATGGGAGCCTCAAAATAGCAGTAATCACAAAATAGAAGTTCTCTTGTCCATGTCAGTTACTAATGAAGTCTCACTGATCTAACTGCATTCGTTGATATTTGAGAGGAACATAGGGCTCAGGAGTGCTTCACTAGACTTGCCTTCCAATTTGGGGGTCTTATTGAAAACCTCTTCACCAACAAAGCCAAGGATACTGATCCCATGGATAACTCCATGTGGCCAGACCTCTGCAACCTTATGGAGCCCTGTTACTTTTGCAAGAGTCTGTGAAGTGGCTTGTGGTTTGGATCTAAATGGTGATCAACATTCTGCAGTGCATCATCAGTTTTAAATTCTCTGTTAGTAATAAATCAGTACACAGACTAATTGCTCGTTTTATTCTTTGTCTTTATAAGTCCCAATTAGTCTGAAAATTGAAATCTCTTGTTACCACTAATATGTTCTTTTAATCATTTTAATTTCTATTATCATTTTTGCGTGGTTTTTCAGATCAGGCAGTCTATAGCAGTACATATTAGGAAAATGACCTATTTATTCTCTTAAAAATTCAGCCATTAATGAATTACCCCTTAAAAATTCTTTAAAAGTGTAACTGAGATAACAGCTTAATTCTGCTTCAATAGGTGAAATATTTATGCAAATACAGTTAGCTTTGGAGCTCAGACAGTTAGTTAAAGACACAGTGGATTCATGGTTTCTATTAAACAGAATTTTCACATAACTCTGAAAAAGTGCTTTACATCAGTAGATCTCAAAATGCTTTACCAGGTAGGTGAGTATCATCATGCCCATTTTACAGATGGGAAAGTGAAGCACAGAACTGAAGTTATATGCCCAGCCGAAGTTATATCAACCAGCAAGCTAATGGCAGAGCTATAATATATATCTCCTGAATCCAGATCCTATGTCCCGTTCTCTACACCAGCTGTTCTCAACCTTTTTTTCCCAGCTCCCATTTGTAAACATTGATGGCCAGTCCTGACCCAGTAAATAATTTAAGTAGAAAACAGTCCCTTGGCCCTGGCAGTGCCCCCCACCCCCAGCCCCCATTGTGTGGGGTAGGGGGCGGCTTTGAGGGGCGGGGGGCGTGGGCAGGTTGTGTGGGGCATAGGGAGCCCTATTGGCTGTAAGTAACCTTAATGTTGACTGATCCCAGTGTTTGTTAAGGACCTCTAACTTTTAAGGGAGCCATGAAGTTTAGAGCCTAATATCAATTAGCTATTCTTAAAGATTGGAATAATGGGATAAAATTGAATTCTAAAAAGTACATGAAATGTCCTTCGAGATTGCTAACAAGAATTTCTGCTAAAAGCTGGAAGCATATCAGTTGGCAACAATGAGGAGTGGGGGGAACACAGAGTGTATTGGTAACTCAATTGGATAATTATGTTTTGCCAAAAAATTTGCTAATTTAAGAAAATATTTTTTACTGACAATCTGCATACTTTTTACTGGGTGTGTCTACGCATGCAGTTACTGTGCAGTAGCTTAGGTTACTGTGTGGTATGGGCACATGTCTACATGTGTGTGCCCATACTGCACAATAACTATGGTGATTTATGCAGAATTGGCTATTCAAAAAGTATAGCTATAACCTGGAACAGATTCAGAGATGGGCTACTAGATTGACCAGGAGTCTAGAGAGCCTATTTTATAAGAGATGAATAAAAAAGCTTGGGTCATTTATTACTCTGCCAAAACAATGAGTAAGAGGCATGTGATTACTGTCCATAACTACAACAGGAGGGTAAACAGCAAAGAGGAATGTGAATTATTTAAACTAAAGGATTTGGGGAGAAATTGGCCAAAAAAATGTATGATGGAAATGAGAGGTTTCTAATTATCAGAGGAGTGAGGTCTAGAACAGCTTTCCAGCAGGGACAAGAAACATATCTTGTTTTAAGATGAAGAAGGCTTGCTCAGTTAATGAAAGTGTTTACATCATGATATCCTTTAGACTGTTCTGTCTAGCTGTGACAGCTGTTATGGCACACCGGAATGATGGGATTTAGTAAAATATTCCTCACATACCATTTTCTTCCCTGACCCCTCTGTCTACACACTATCTTCCTAGCACTGCTTCTATTCCAACTGGGACCTCACATAGGGAATTTTCAGATTGGTGATTATACCGTCACCCTGTCTGTCGTGTGCTCCTCATGTGGTATGAAACCAACTGAGATCTAGTTGTTGTCTCCATCTCAGATAGCAACTGAATCAGACTAATTGGCCTTCATTTTGCCACCTGGAGTAATTGATGGAATAGAATATAACCCAGACTTTAAGAACACGAAGCCTGGAAAGTTCTTGGAGTGTTTTTATACCAAAGCCAACAAGGAGGAAGCTCTTCTAGATTTACTGTTCACTTACAAGGAGGAATTGATTGGGAATGTGGTGGGAGAGAACATCAGTATGGGTGATAATGAACATGAAGTGATAGCATTCAACTTCTTGAAGGGAGGAAGGGCGGGGGGCGAAGGGAGAGCAGCAGAATGAAGACCCTGGACTTAAGAAAAACAGACTTTAGAAAATTCAGGATACTGATGGGCTGGTACCCATAGGAGGCAAATCTGAGGGGAAAAGGTATTCAAGACAGCTGGTTTTCTTTATCAAGGCTGATTAGAATATTATGAGGGACAGTGTCAAGAGTACATGAAGGAAATGCAATCTAGATCAAAGTATTGGTAAGGTGGATTCATAATGGGTTGGCTCATGCATAATCAGTAGTCATCAATGGCTCAATATCTTATTAGGAGGAGGTTTCCCAGGGGTTCATCCTGCTTGAAGAATGTTTCTGAATGCAGTTTGTAACGATGCAGAATACAGTGAACTGGGTAGAGTTGTGGGCAGGAGGGTAGGATTAGGATTCAGAATCACCTTGATCAACTGGAGTGATTAGTTTGAAATTAATCATTAAATTAAAAAAGAAGTGCAGTATCTTGCACTTACCATGCAGCTGTTGCTGGGTAAACTATAGTATTATGTAAAAGAATATGGGGGTTACCATGGTCCACAAGCTGAGTATGAGCCGACAGTGTATCTTGTTGCAAAAAAGCCAATTGCATACTGGATTATATTAATAGGAGTATTGTCTGTTGGTCAAGGGAAATGATTATTCTGTCTTTTTTCAGTTTATTCTCTACTGGTGAGGTCTTGCTTGGGAGCACGATATCCAGTTTTGAGCACTGCACTTCAAGAAAGACATGGCCAAATAAGAAAAAGTCCAGCACAGAGCAACAACATTTATTAGAGGCCAGGTAAATGTGATTTATGAAGAAAGTCTGAAAGAACCAGGATTATAATCTGGAGAAGAGAAGACTGAGGAGGAATTTAATAACAGTTTTCAGATATCTTCAAAGTGATTATAAAAAGGATGGTGATAAACTATTTTCTATACCACAGGGGATAGTGCGAGGAGTAATGGTCTTAAATTGCACCAAGGGCAATTTAGGTTGGATATTACGAAGAAGTTTCTTACTTTGAGGGAGGTTAAACATTGAACCAATTACCTACAAAAGTTGTGGACTCCCCATCCTTAGAAGTTTTTAAGATTAGATTAGATAGAAACTTGATGGGGATGGTTTAGTCAGGGCAGTGCTGCCCTCAACAGGAGATGGAGTAGATGACCTTCTGAGATCCCTTCCAGGCCTACTTTTCTATGATCTTAACATCAGTAAATATCTTTAATTCCAAATATATGTTTATGAACACAAGTATCAGAGCGTTTGAAGATTTCTGCAATTTGGCTAGGAAAATTTACTCCTCTGTCCTATTCATGCATACCAGTTCCATTGTAGGAGTTGAACATCTGTGATTTCCCCCAAAAGAAATAACTTTCAGAATAAAAAAAGAATCCTTCTTTGAAGCTCATAATATAATTATTGATTTGGTAGAATGTGCTGTAAAAGATTGAGGAGTAGTTATACTTGAAGCTTCATCAGCCTCTATGATGCATGCTTTAAACAAACTAGCTACTGACATTTTACAGACTTTTACTCTTTTGACTACTAGGTGGGAGAGAACAAGAGGTACTTTTCTCAGGAGGACAGTTTCTTCTTTTGATTTCAGTTTTGATTGCTCTTCAAACATGAAGCTTCAGTACCTTCCTTTAGATGTTTAGGCTGCAAATGGAAAGCTATGAAGATAAAATCCCATGAAAGAACGCTGTCTGATTAGGAATAAAGAGGGTTTGCTTTAACACTACTTTGTCATTTTGAACAGTAAAATGCTCATACCCTTCCTTAGAAATTCTCCTTGTGGAAATAACTGGCAAAATGACCCGTTTACATCAGCAACTAATGATTAAAGATAGCCTTGTGCTTGGAGTATGGACTAGGATTTAGGAAAGGACTTTCTTTTTGTATTAGCAATGAGAATACAGGATTGGGACCAGCATCATATTCTGTCTGGGTGTGTCTACACATGCAATTAATGTGACTGAATATGCTCCAACTCAAACTGAGCTGGAATAAACCAATCCCGACTTCACTGTCTACATGTGCATTTAAGTGCAGTAATTTACTGCACTGCCGGATACCACTTGTATCTGATGGGACTATCTGGCAATGCAGTAAATTAATCTACTGCACCCTAATTGCCACATACGTGTAGATGGTGATTCTTTACCGTGCAGCAAATTAGGCTGCTGTGCAATAAAGCATCTCATATAGATGTGCCCAGACCATGTCTTAGTTCCTTTATTTGTAAAATGGAGATTATACGTTAACCTCATGGGAGTGTTATGGCAGTTAATGTGTTAGAAAATAGCACTGAGACACTTGAATGAAGTGTCTTATGAAAATTCATAATACTACATTGTCCAGTTATGGGTATAACATCCCTGAGTGGATTTTGAAATATTGCTCTTTATATTTTCTTTTGTTTTTAATTCAAAACAGAATGGTCATTTTAAACATGGGGTTAGTTAAGTACCTTTTGTAGTCTACATAATTCATTTCTAGAGTAGTTAAATTGAATATTTATAATTGCCTTCTGGAATTCTTAATAATGAGGCAGAAACCCAGCCTTAATAAAGGACAGAAGGGCCCAAACCCAGAGTTTCTCTGCATGCCAGCTGCTCTCAACAAGTTTCTTGTCATTGGTACTTTAGTGTTTACACTCCTTATACCTCTAGGGTGCCCAAACTAAGTTTATTTGTTACTCAGATCTGTGCACTTGAACTGCCAACCAGTATGCTGATTGTAATGGTGCTTTCTGTGAGGAGGATACTCCTTTGGAGTTTCTTAAGTGTACAAAGTAGAGAACTAGTATTTATCAGGTACCAAAGCTGCATCTTGGAGCCAGTTCATCCTTGTCCAAAGGCCTGAAAACTGAGTTGTCCAAATCATGTTTTCAATGGAGCTTGCTCTGAAAGGGGCCCAAACCTACAAATCTCCTTATATCCATATGCATTTCAGCTGTTAGAGACGGTGCCACATACACAGAAGCCTTGGGCCTCTTCAGCTTTTCCAGGACACTAACTACTTAACCCTTCTGCTATTAAATACATCGGACTTATTCTCCTGATACTTTTCTCAGTATAAATAGAAATAAACTCCTTTGCACATTTAAGACACTGTCTCCAATATTAACAGTGTAAAACTAGCTTAAGTAATAAAGGAATTGGACCCCGCCCTTTTTTAAAATTACTTATTTACCTGTAGAGCAAGTAGGTTTTCATCTTGAACATCAAGTATTTACCACTTATGAAAGCAGAATATTGGGCTGGCTGGATAGCTTTGAGGTCCTGTATGATAAATGCTATGTTCTACCACTAAAACTGATGATTGCTGGGAAGCCCAACACACAGATTTAAGACAAAAGATAATAGAAGCAATATAGTAACTGTTTTGTTATCCCATATGAGATATTGGAGTAGAGTTCCTTGTTTATTATGTACATTTTATTACATCCATATTTACCTAACATATTGTCAGCACTGAACAAATAATATCAGAAATAATACAGGCAGAGATATTATTATTTATTACTATAAATAAATATATTCAATCAGGCGTAATGGTTTTATTTACTTTAGAGACTGGAATTTATTAGTTTACTTTTTGGTCATTTAGGTAAATAAATAATTTTCTATGTGCTTTATAATCTTCTATAAAGTACCTCTTCATTATTTCCTTTCATTTCAGCAATTCATAAATATATTAACTAGACATATATATTTAAATAACATTAAAATTGTGACACAAATTGAAGGCACAGCAGCATGAAATCAGGACAGCCTGCCAAGATAAATTTGAATGTCTTGTCAAAATCTGAAAACTAAGCTTATTTTTATATTGAATATATTTCTAAATTTCCAGCAGGGTTTTATTTTTAAACACAAAGTTAGGGGGAGAAATGAAAAATATAATGTGACTTTATCATTTTGTTTGCCCCTTTCCCAAACACAAAGAGCAATGCTAACTTTAAAACTCTTTTATTTCATCAGAACACGTTTAAGCAATGAAACACAATGGGTGGTGTTGTTATGGTAAGATAATCACACCCCCGAGGTGTACTGAGACGCAATATAGCTGATTACCTCTCATCCCCTAGGGATGTAATTATTTCATGATAACTGCACTTTTGGAGCTGCCTTATTGCTGTTATCAAATTTCTTTTAGCTTTATATCCAAACACATTAAACAATGACTTTGTCAACTTTGAGTTCCTTAGAGATTAATCTACCTTTTCACAATGTTTAACTGACAGTTGGAATGTTTCTTCAACTCCAGTTTTAATGTTTTTCCTAAGATTTCTACAGGAATTTGCAGCCGGAGCAAGAGACAACGGAGGATTCTGATGGCATCCAAATTAAGCTGAAACACAAAGACATTAAAAAAAATATTTATAATATAGTCTGAATTGGAACAGGAATCTGGCTGGCTGGCAAGGATTCTAAACTAAGGGAGGGTCGACACTGCAGTCTAACCAGTGCAGTACGCTGCAATATAGATCTACCCTACACTGTAGCATTATCTCCACAACCAAGCTAGCTTTAAACAAGCTAGCTGGGCAGATGCTAGTAGTAGTCTAACCACAAAAGCACAGAACTCAGTGAAAGCTAATTTACACTGCTGCTTGAGCAGGTTTTCCAGGCTGTGATGAGCTCTATGGGTGCTTATACATGTGCTCAGGGATTGGGCGGAGGGAAGGGAGGGTTAATTAGAGTAGTTCCTGGAAAGCCCCTCTAATTAAAACACCACAGCGAGGCATGTATTAAGCCCCTGCACATTTAAAAATGGCTGTGGGATGCTTTAACTAAAACTCATTCAACAAGGTTTAGTTAAATTGCCCCAGCAGCCATTTTTAAAGCCGCAGGGGCTTATACACCTGATGCTGTGGCAAATTAAAACATGGAGTAGATTCAATTAATTGCCTTAATTAATCATTCTGATGTTCTAATTAGAACACATGTTGGAGCATATGTATAGGCATGTGTATAGCTATGATGCCATAGCTAAGGAACTATAGGTACCTAGCTTAGGTGGTTTAAGGCTAGTTCAGATACGCTGTAGTGCAGATGTATCAGCATTTCCTGCTCTTGGAAGCAATGAGCATACTTGTTTAGTTAAACAAGAGTGTTTGTTTGATTGAGACCCATAAAGATACCCACATTTGCATCCAGGGCGGACGGGGTTGGGGCGGATCCCCACATGAGCTGATTTGCCCCAGGCCCCGCACCAGAGCCAACCCAAGGAGCGTGCAGGGCCTGGGGCAAATCAGCTCATGCGGGGACTCACCCCTGCCCCAACCCCACGTGCCCCGAATGCGAAGGAGCCACCGGCAGTGGTGGGGGTGGGGTGGGAAGGTTAGTGAGCGGCTGGACACGAAGCTGGTGGTGATGGTGCAGAGTCACCATGGCCACTCCGCCCAGCTCTGCGGGGCCCCCCCAAAGCATGGGGCCTGGGGTGGTCACCCCAATTCACCCCTCACAGGAACAGCCCTGGCTGCTGCTGGTCCTAGGCAGCAGTACCAGCCTCCTGTGATCCAGGAGGCAGATCGGGGGCCCACACCCCAGGAGCAGTCTGGCACAGCTCCCACATCCCTCCCAGGGGTGTGGACAAGCCCTCGATCTGCCTGTTGGATGACAGCAGGCTGGGGCCGACGCTGAAGCCAAGTAAGCCTGGCTTCGAAACTCAAAACATTTTGAAACTTTCAAAATGTTTCAAGTGCCCTTGTTTTGTTTTGAAGCTGCTTTGAAGGCTTTTGTTTAATATTGATTTCGCTGTCTTGAGCTTGAAAGGCATCGAAACAGCTTCAAAATGAAACACCGGGTGAAATTTCGCACAGCCATAATACATAATGTGATAGTATAAGTGCATGATATCAACTCTCAAACGATTTCTAATAACATGAGTAAAACTGCTTACATGAGCAAGGGTTCATATCAGTGCTCACAGGATCAGGCCAACGGTTTGACTGTAATGCCTACTCTGTGTTCAACCATTGCAGCATCCAGCACTTGTCATATAGCTGCTTTGTGATGAGATCGATGGCAGAGTACACATACTGTGCAGTCATCTGGCATTTAGATATTTGGGTGCGTATTTGCTACCAAGTCAGCCTGTAGTCTAGTTTCAGTTTTAAGTGGGGTTAAGATCACATCACACATCTTTGCATAAAAAGAGGAACTCCATGTAATCGACACGCATAATAAAAGTCTATTTCTGTTGATAAACTTGGAGTCTGAATCCGTCACCAAACAAATACTACCCAAGGATGTTTGATAATGTATTTAGTAGTTGCTTGCAGTAGTTCTGAGGCCACCTTGACAGGTTACAATTCCTGAAAAATGAAGCACAGAGCTTGACGGATTATCAACCATGGTTCTGTGGCACCCCGGGGGCCATGAACTCCTTAGAAGGATGCCACAGCACTTGGCCCCAGTGAGAGGATGTACATACTGGTCTCTCTGCATGCTGTGCACCCTGAGCCTGTCCTAGCATCCTGGTCGCACTCCTCATGACTCTTCCCACCAGCTCCAGGAGCATGGTAGGAGCAGCAGTATAGCTATGCTGAAAAGTGCAGCTCTTGTCCCCCGGCAGCTCCTGTACTGACCTACCCCCATGCTCCAAGTGGTGTGGTCTGCTGTGGGCTGTGCTTTTTCAGCCCAGCTCATTCCCCTGCTCCTCCCATGCTCCTGGAGCTGGTAGGAGTAGCTGTGGGGAATGGTGGTTCAGGCATTCAAATCCCTGGAGGAGCAGCTGCAGCCACAGAGGTACTTACCCCCTCAGCTGGGGCAGGAAGAGGGCAGATGACAGAATAATCTGGGCATAGCAGAGCTCTGCCCTCAGTGCCTTCACCTAGTAGCAGTCTCTGCACCAGTAGCCCCTGTCTCTCCCTTCATACTCCTGAAGGGACAGTTGCCTCCAGGGGTCTGACCCATTCCCAAATTACCTAGTCTACCCTGTCTAGCAGTCCCAGCCAGCTCTGAGCATTGTGTACCATACCCAGTCTCAAAGGCATCCTACCTACCCTGTTACCCCATGAAATGTTAAGGGTGTTTCAGGGTGCAAGGAGATAAGATATGCATTAGTGTTTAAATGGGGCACCACTACATTCCAGAAAGTTATGGAGGAGTGCATTGAGTCTAAAATCATTGAGAGTCACTGTCTTGGTATAACAGAGGGCAGGGCCTATGACCTTGTCTATTTGTGCAAGGTTCTGCTGCTAGG